AGACCAATAGGTGATGGATTTTGGAAAGTTTGAAGGCAATTGGTGATGATTTGGTTAGGAACAAGATTTCTGTTTGGCCTTGTATCTCTTTGGATATTGAGTGATGAGCTTAGTTTAACATCAAGAAATGCTCAGGGAAGAATGAGGATGAGATTAGGACCATTAGTTTCAAGAATTGTTAAGATTGATTTTTGAGCATATTTTGGATCATGGATCGGGTTCATGGATTTAAGAGGTTTTAATTGATTTTGAGATTGGGATCGTGTTCAGCATGGAATTCTAGGCATGTTAGGGTTTTTAATTTCAAGAATTGATGGAGAAATGAGGGAGTTCGTATGGAGGAAGATGAAGCTTCATGGCTGTGTTTTAATGGAGGTTTCAGAAAACCCTAACCCAAGGTTGATGATGATGTTTCAACCTTCAGATCAGGAGCTGACCTTTTGACTTTGTCACGATCCAACGACTTGCATTTGATTTCAGTCTTGGAGGGAATCTGAGAAGAGCTAAAACGCACCGTTTCATTAAACGGTGGTTTTGGGCTTAAGTGAATTGGACTTCTATCCTCACCCCCCTTTAGGGCCCACTTCCATTTATAACTGAAATGAGTTACTCTTTGCACCGCTTCCCTTTTTATTTTCTTGCATTTTTTAATTGTTTTCTGATTTAAACTCTAGGCCTGGCGCTTTACTTTCCACACCCCACATGTTGAGCCCACCAATAAACTGAACTGGATCTGTTTACTTGTTACACCCCAGCCATTCATTTTCATTTCATTTTTTCTCCATTTTATTTCAATGTTTGAAAATTCATATCAAATTGAAAATTAATGATTTTTTCATGGGAGTTTTTTCTCCCACTTCATATTTTTGTCTAGAAAAATATAAAATAAAAACATTTTTCATCTCATGCATTTTAGTATTTTTTGTGCATTTTCTTCTTTTATTGCATTTTAATTTCTTTTATGTTGATCCGTGATTTTGTAGAATTTAGTTTAGGTAGTTCCCTTAATATTTTTAGGTCAATATTTTTAGGATAATTAGATATAGGTTTTATCTCCCCCCTGGCTTTCTTCCATATTTTTGTGATGATTTTTAGGGTAGTTTTGATTAGATGCTATTAGGTTGTGTAGAATTAGGTCAAACTTCAACATAGGTCCATAATAACTTTAGATTTTGGGTTTTTTAGGACAAGTTAGACTATGGGGCATATATGGGTATTAAGGGTAGGTATTTAGGACCCCTTAGAAATTATATTAGGATTTAATATAGTAGTATGCTATTTTTAGTTGATTTTTGTATTGGTTGATGGTGTGTGTTGCCTTTAGGGCATGTTTGCTTTAGTTGCTTTGCTTTGTGGGCTTGGAGAGATTGGCCTTGTTCTAAGGAGCATTGAGGAGCATAGTAGAAGACTTGAATATGGATTTAGGAGCTTGAGAGCTTGATCTTATTTTCTTTTTGTTGTTTTAGGGTTAGGGATTAGGAAGAGTTTAGACTTAGACAACTTCTTTCTTAAACATGGATGGTATCTGTCACCTCCATTCCTCCCTGTGATTCAAAGTCCTTCCAGGGTATGCACATCTCTCCTTTGGAGGGATAAGTGATGTACCTAGGAAGTAGAACTTTTGAGGGAACCATTCCTTTGATGTTGAACCCTTATAGGTCACCTTTGGTGGTCAAATAAGCAGTTCAATATCCCCAGCTTATCCAGTAAGTGATTTCCTCTGGTTTTGATTATCTTGAGAGATGTTGAGCTTGAGTTTGAAGATGAAGACTTCATTGAAGAGTATTGAAGAGGATGAATCCTTGAGTATTGCCATTCCAGCTGAAGCTTGAAGAGCAACAAGAGCAAGTTGATACTTGAAGATCCCTGAAGATTAGGTGAAGCCTGAAGGTGGAGCTGATCAAGAAACTGAAGCTTAAGGGAGAAGATGAGTTGAAACTCATGTTGTAGGGTTGAAACCTGGAAGAGCAAATTGATGTTTGTCAAGAGTGATTGAAGTCTGAAGACTGAGTTGCTGTTGGAAGAGCTGAAGCTTGAGGTTGAGAGAGAAGTGATCTGCTTTCTTTTTCTTTTCTGTATTGCTGTGTTTTGTTTGACTTGTTTGATGCATTAGAATAAGTTCATATCTAGAATAGGTAGAATCTAGGAGCATGATTGCACTAGAGGTTGAGTTGCTCCCTCTGCTTGTATTGTTACTGTGTGGCTTTGCTTGCGGGTATTCGGTAGAGCCTAGCTCCCTTGCCCATGTGGTTTGTTTGCCTGATGGCATTTTATTTCATTTTATCTGTATGATTGCAGTTTACTGTTATTGCTTGATAGCATGTTGTTTTATATTTCAGTATGATTAATGTTATTCCATTCTGGCTTGAGGTTGAGATGAGCTTGTGGAGGCTGAAGCCCCACACACATTTCCTCCCTCACTTGCATTTCATGCATTTTACTATTAAGCTGATGCTTTGTCTGTTTTGGTGTATCATTGACATGATCCCTTAGGACTCTCATTTCCTTTGATAAGGATTTGATGATAGAATCTTAGGTTGAAACCTATGCATGACAACTTCTAGGAGTTCCCTGTTCAAACCTCAACCATAGGATGAATCCATGGCATGACAACAGTAGGACTTGATAGTCTCCCTCCTAGTTGGGCCTGTTCTCTTCTCATCTCAAAACAGTTTAATATACAGTAATCATGAATGATTTCTTTCGTACGTTACGAGCCTTAAGCTATCTGAGAAAGGATTGTGGGAGAGCTTCTTTTCCACAGTCTGGATGTTTAGTATGGTACCCTTTAGGTGACATGCGACGCATTCACTCTCAGGTCATAGTCTCTAGTGCGGTTGAAATTGCAAACACAACAAAAAACACTTCTTTCGTAAAAGACAGGAAATAAACCGTAGTTTCCCGAACTACGTGAGCTTTGATCTCTCATACCTGTTGAGAGTACGTAGGCACAAGATGGCGATGTCTTGGCGAGCTACCTTCCCCCATAATCCTTCGTAGGCCGAACTACGTTGACTCTGATTTCTCATTCTCTGATGAGAATACGTAGGCATAAAGTGCGACGCTTTGCCGAGTCATTTTTCTTTTCTCTTTCAGCCAACCTTGATAGGTAGATAGAATAAAACCAACCAGTCCAAGTAAACACAACAAGCGAGGATCCCGTCGAGTACGACGGACGTGAGGGGTGCTAATACCTTCCCCTTGCGTAACCGACTCCCGAATCTAGACAACGGTTGCGATGACCTTGTCTTACCCTTTTTCGTCAGGTTTTTCCGATCGTTTCCTTTCCCGCTCTGAGGGATAAATAACGAAAGGTGGCGACTCTTCTGTCATGCCGGCACCTTATTTTTGCGCAAGCGACACACAAGAATTAAACGATCTATGAAGAACTGAAGCAACAATATTGAAGCACCACAGTACAAAGAAAGAATATTGTTCATACTGTGAAAGTTTCTTTAAGTCATTTGAGCTATTAATTGTGTTTATATCTACTTGTGTAGAAGCAGTTCATTGTAAAAAAATTTGTTCAATCAATTGTTTGTAATTCCTTAAGGGACCAATTAGGTTATAATCCTTAAGAAGAGACAATTAGTCTTTGTTGTTAGTCACCAGTGGTACTAGTGCAAATTAAGATTCCTTAAGGGACCAGTTGGGTCAGAATCCTTAAGAAGAGACAGTTAGTCTGTATTGTTAGTCACCAGCAGTTGCTAGTGTAGTGTAATAAGTTGATTATAGTGGATTAAATCCTTGTTTATAAGACGAAATCACCTTGGCAAGTGGACTGAATTAGCTTGATAGTTTTCAAGTGAACCAGGATATATCGTGTGTCTTTCTCTCTTGTTAGTCTATTTGTGATCTTTGTTTGAGTTTCACAAAAAGCTTTCATTTTTGAAAACCTAATTCAATCTCCCCTTTATTGTGTTTTCTCACACCTTCAGAATATTCCCTGTTATTGTAGAGTTTGTTTCAAGGTGGAGAATTGTGAGATTATTGGATCGAACTCTAGTTCTAACGTATGCGATGTTGTCGACAGGGATAACTTTCAAGTTTCGTCAGGGGACAAACATGAAGTCAAAGATGATTCATGTAACACATGAGTCCAAAGAGGACGAAGAGTGGTTACATGTAACACCTGGGGGCGAGAGAGTGGTTGTCGGTGCATAAGACATGACAATGAGACACTCCTAGAAGTTTTTAGGGAAAAACCGACAAGATGCATCTTCTTTTTGGTAGCTCGTTTCATAAGAACTCCAACGAAGAGTGGTTATAAGGACTATTTGGTACTGTGTTAAGGATCGAAATGTTTAGTTAGCTTGTAATGTAAGTTAGCTAATTAATCTATAAATATGTTAGATCTCTCCGGTTGTTTAAAGAGATCAATTGTGTTATTCATTTGTAAATCCAAAATGAGAAAGGGAATATAAACCAATTGTACAAAATTCTATTCTCCTTTTTTTTTTTTCTTCTCTATTTGTTCTAACTATTTTATTGTTGACAAAAAAAAAAATTTAATCATAAATAGAGTCCAAGCTAAATGCAATCTCATTATTGAGAATCAAAGTGCCGACTAAGATCAGCAATCCTTCATAAAGAAATACATATGACCTGGCCTAGTTCATAGACTCATGCCTCTTTTGAAAGCTAAATTATCATTCATTACATGGCCTATGACTCGTACGCATATTAAAAATAAATAAAACAAATAACAAATCCAACTTGGTAGTTGAAAATTAAATAGTGCTATACAAAATATTTATTAATAATATATGCAGGTGGGATCTAAAACAGTTCCTATATGAGGCAGTCACTACCTTAGAGAGAATGTGTACAAATAAAGTGTCTCTTTCTTTACTATAACTCCAAAAATAAAGTTATTCCTTAGGACAAAAGATAAGCAAGTTAATGAATTTCATTGCCTTGGATCCTTCTCTCTACAACTTGTAAGGCATCTTTATGTATAGTTTCCTAGAATAAATTCTCTACTATAATGTAAATATATGTTACCCCATTTGTGCATGTATTTTGCGATCTTGCTCTGTTTTATTGGTTTTTATTGTTGATAAAATTGAACCTGTTATAGAGGCTAATGTGACTAGAATTAATATGGCTGAGACTGTGTAGGTTCCTTCTTTGACTAAGTAGCATTCACCATTTAACCAACCTGCTCCATAGGGTTGTGCTTTGCTCATGCTTGTGGCTACCGCTAGTAAAATAATTGTAACTCCAAAGCTTAGCCTGCCAAGTATGACCAGTACAAAATTTAGATTTATACATATTTAAGAGTTTAATTTCTAATATATATATATATATATATATATATATATATATATATATATATATATATATATATATATATATATATATATATATATATATATATATATATATATATATATATATATATATATATATATATGAACCAACACCAACACCAACATGAACATGTGATTACTTTGAGTGAGATGAGACTCAGACACTTTAAACAAGTTATAAAGATTTCAATATTTAAGTATGATGTATGAAGAAAATTCAATCGAAATAGAAAAAATATATTTTTGAGCTCAATACGGTTTCTAACTATGATTAGTCTAAATAGATTTTGATAGTCGATATTTATGACATAATTCCAAAATAATTTATCGATAGAATTGACACATCTAATTATACCAATTACTCGCATTAAGTATGATTTGAGTTCATGAGTATTGAATTGACCAAAAGTAATAAGAGACGTCACAGCTAGAAGTCTAATCGTCTTTGACATTTATGAGTAAGAGACGTCGCAGCTAGAGGTCTAACTGTCCTTAACATTTATGTATGAAAAAAATTTGATTAAACATATATTTTATTTTTATTTTTATCAAAATCTTGGATGGAAATTAATCACGCTAATCTATGCAAGAAACATTGTAATTTAACATGAAAATCCAAAAAAAAAAATCATGTAGGTTTAGTTTTAAATTTTCCTTGTTGATTGGTCAGAAGTAAATTCTTCGAAAATATTTTCTAAGATTTTGATGGCTCTTCCTACCTTACTTTGGGATTGTCTTATTTAATATAAAATTATTTTGGATTAAAGAAGGAAAATATATAATTTAAAAATTTATCTTGTTTTCATACAAGGCAAAAAATCTGGATGTTTAAAGAATAGACAATATTTAGAACATGAAACAGACGAACTGCCCCATGTTGAATTTGGTTTGTTTCTTATCTAAAAATGATTCATCATTCCAACCTGTATCCAATAATAACAAGCCACGTGGCACCAATATAATAAATGCTATAATATATCATAGCCAAAATCAATAATAAAAAATAAAAAAAAATAAAAAAACCAACATGACACCTAGATTGTATGGTAGTATGTCCCTTTTGTAGAAATTGGTTGCATTAATCCAACATTAAAAAATGTCAATTTCTAACAAGCCAATAATTAAGAAAGTATTCTGGTTTTTTCCATAACTCTAGTTGTTGAATATGAAGTAACAACTAACATAAAAATATAGCAAAAGAAATTTGAAAACTTACCAAGAAATCAAAATTAGAAGCCTTGCAATGAAAGGTAGCTTGTATTGTGCATTTATTTTTCTTCTTGAATAAGAATTCTTGAACAATATTGAATTTCCAATGATTTGAGCCAAACACAAACTAATCAAAGATGCAATGCCTAATCCAAATGCTTGACTTGATGGTAAATAACATAGTTTTCCATTCCATCTAAGATCTTCCTTCTACAAAACAAAACAAAAAAACATCAAAATTTGTTTCACAAATATAAATCTTAATTTCAAAGAAGAACTCATAATACCTTGTTCCTCTTAATCTCAGAAGCTATACATAAAGAAAATGAAACCAAGCCAAGAAAAATAGAGATGAAGATAGAAAATATGAATGCAAATTTGCATCTAGGAGGAGTTTCCATTGAGATATGATTGTTTTTATGAAGAGAGAATAACAATAAAAATAGAGAATATTTGTTGGAAGGAAACTACTCAAGAAACAAAAAGATGAGTATTTGGTGTTTTGAAAGTGTTTTTCATTCTCTTTTTCTTTGAGTTTTTTTGGTAGTTGAGGCTTGTTTCCAAATTTGTCTATCATTGTTTTGAAGGAGATACCATTCCTAACTGATTGTATTACGATTTTGTGGAAAAACCAATTTGAAAACTTTTCCTTTTGTTTTGAAGCTACCTAGCTATTATCAACAGTTTGATGCAAATGGTTTGTTACCAAGATACAGATAGTTAACAAAGAGTTAGAATCTTCCCTAATACGTGACAAAAAATACACCTAATTAATATAATAATACAATAATGTTAGATATAGATAACATAATCTCTTAAATAGATTTTAATATATTGATAAAATAATTTATCATTAAATTTAACTCAAGCTAATTCAGTTGATAGTTGTACAATAATATCAGACAAAAAAATGTATTCGAATCCGTGACATCTTATATATTCATCTTTAAAAAAATGAAATTTCTATTACTAAATTACGCTAAAAAAAAATCTATTTAAATCTCGTAATAAATAATGCAATTAATGATATAAACTAATGATAGATTAATCTATCTTGACCCTCCTATATAAATTATTAGAAAAATTTAATTCCTAAAATTACAGAATGGTAATTTTAAATGATGATGCTAAGAATAAGTTTCATATTTTCTCATTTTTAATGTAAATTAAGTTAAGTATATATAATTACTTGCCACCTTTTAGAAGTAGGTTATCTATTACATCGGTTTATACGGTGAAGGTTCTCTTTTACACCGCTTCTTATGTCAAATTAGAAACTAAAGACCCTCTTTTGATTTTAGGTTCTTTCTTCGAAATTTCCTCAAAGATTCATTCTTTTAATGACTCAGATTCGATTCCATTCAAAAACATGTTGGCATTGATTGGAAGAAGAAGAAAGCATCTTAAACATTTTGTATACAAATCGTAAGTTCCATTTCAATTTGACTTTGATTTGTTTAATTATACAAAACCCAATTCCCAATTAGATTCTTAATGTTAAAAAATTATTGCTTTATTTGCTTTTAATTAATTTAGAGTTAAGTATTCAACATGGCTTACAAATGGGTGCTTGAAGAATAATAATCTATGGCATTTTTTTTTCTGGGTCATGTGTGGTTGGTTCCTTTCTTTCTACACCTGTCATAGATAATGAAAATGAAGTCAAAATGTTTTTTTGTTGATGAAGATTGCAATGGTGCCATTCAATTTTTAAGAGCCCTATAGTTTTCAATGATGGTGGCCCTTTACTAATAACCAATCACACTTCACCAATACTGGTTCTGTTAGTGCTAATAGGGGCGCGAAGAGACTTTCGCGATTTCGGTTGGTACATACATTCTCACACTGATTGTAATCGTCGTGGTGTAACTTTATTTTTTCTTAATCTTAAAAACGGTGAATAACAGAATCAGCATTGACACCATCTGATACTATTTTGTTGAGGCCTACTCGGTTGATTTCATGTTCTTAAAAAGATTTGAAGGAAAATTCAAGGATTTGCTACAAATAAATGACAAGATTTAGAGTATTATCACTCTTTTTGTATTATTGAATATAAACTCTAAAGTTATTGCAAATTTTCAAACTTTGTTTTTTGGAAAATAAGAACTTTCTTCCCAATGCTATGAACATTTAGTGCATTGGGGGGTACAATTACAAAAAGCAGGAAATGATTTGTTTTCTTCATTTACTTCTTTTCCTTTTTAGAACATGAAGAACAGATTGTGCAGTGCAGTAAGCAATTGATTGAACTGTGATCATTGGATTCACTCCCAAAGCTGTTGGAAACACACTTGTATCTGCTACATAAAGACCCTCCATTTCCCATGTTTCCCCTGTCTGTTTCACCGCAGATTGTGTCGGATCAGATCCCATCCGACAAGTTCCCATCTGATGTGCTGAGCACACTGGAGTTGAAAGGTCTTTTATTGGCCTTGAGCTTTCCTTTGTAACGAATTTCTCAAATTCGTGATAACTTGCCTTCTTTACATTTAAGGTCTTTCCCTTGTTATGATGAGTTCCGATTTCTTCAGCGCCAGCTGCAGCTAAAATTCTCAGTACCTTATCGATTCCCTTCTGTAGATTCGCTTCGTCTAAATCTCCCATCTGATAACTGATGTGACTCGGCGAATGCACTTTTCCAGAAGTCTGATCCCTTGCAAGTGCAAATACATGAGCCGTTCTTGAGAACTTTCGCATTCTATCCTTCATATCGCGTCCAGAAAGCCATGGCATGACAATCGAGAATGTACCGGGATGCAATGCTGGTGTTTGAATGACCGCACCGTATCCTGATTTGTCAAACTCCGCGACAACTGATGACATTGCTGTCATTATCCCTCCTTCGTAGCTCTTCTTCCATTTCTCGGGCCACACCTCAGATGCACCCGTGTCTACAGGTTCATCTGGGAAGTAGCCCCAAGCCATTACCACCGGATGAAGATGCAAGTTTCTCCCGATATTGTTATTTTTCAATCCGCTTCTTTTGAGCAAAGCCGGAGTATTGAGTGCTCCGCAAGCTACAATTGTGACCTTAGATTCCACCACACAAATGTCTTTACTTCCTTTGTATTCAAATTCAAACACTACTCCTCGAGCGATCTTTTCGCCACTTCCTTTCTTTTTCTTATGCAAAACTTTCATCGCGGTACAACCCGGAAGAATCACTCCGTTCCCCGACTTCACCAAATCCACCAACCACGTCTCCGATGTACCCTTCTTCTTTCCATCCTTACACCCCAAGCAACACCAGCCACAGTAGTGATCCGCGGAAGAGTTTCTCGGAATGTTACTCACAGGATATCCCATTTCTTGACACCCTTTTCTCAAAACTGCATTGTTAAAACCTTCCTCTTCTATCTCAGATTGAACTCCCATTTTCTCGCACACCGCGTCCATCGCTTCTTGATACATCTCACTTTCAAACAATTCCAGCTCATGTTTTTCACACCACTCCTTGCACACATGCTGCGGTGTTTTGATACTCGCAGACCAGTTAATCGCAGACCCTCCACCAACAGTCGAACCCGATAATATAAACACACTCATATCAGCAGCCGCAACCAAACCACCCGATTGATACATTTGATCCATCGTCGGTCCTTCAAGAAGCGAAAGATTGTTCCTAGCACAATATCCACCTTTCTCCAAAACCAACACTTTATAACCAGCTTTCGCTAGAATTCCAGCTACAACTCCGCCTCCCGACCCAGAACCAACCACCACAGCATCACATTGTATAACTAAAGAAGGCGACGACAAATTTGCAGAAGCTTTTGCCTTTCGACGATTAACCGAGACAGGGAATCCGACTCGTCTTAGAGCATCGACAGTGATGTCTCGCGGATGGTTTAGATGAACAAGACCTTTGTAAAGAGGTCCTATGGCTTGTTCAGCATTATCTTCGTCGTCGTCGTCAGAGTGTAGAAAATGGTTGTTTAAATGAGCTTTGAATTCTGGATCAGGTCCACAATATCCAATTGCTTTCCAAGAACAATTTTCTTCTAATTCATCTACCTGAAAAGTAAGTGTAATATCATGATGAGTGCATGATTCCAAACAACCAGAAAATCTTGTACAATGAAGAATATGATATATGTTTGTTATGTTTTTTTTTTTTAATTTTTACCACCGAATCAACTAACCAACTATCAATCGGTATTGAGCCAAAAGATTATGAAAGAAAATAATTCCTAACAAGCATTTATATATTCTTATGGTTCATAGATATTATTTTGATTTCAAATTAGTTCAATTATGAAATTTTCATTTTACCCTAATAACTTTTAAATTTCTGTACTATTTTTTTTGTCAAATAATCGGGTGACTGAAATTTACCCTATAAATGTCAATAAATAGAATTTCGTAAATTTGAACTGGGATTTCTACATCTAATATCTTATACAACCCCCAACTAAACTGATTTAAGAATACAAATTTTTGTACTTATTTATTGTTATTTGGGTTATGTGCTTAAAAATTTGACACATGAAAAATGAAAATGAAATATCTCACAGCATTCATGTCAAAACTGTTCCTATGTCACTTAAAAAATGCTCCTATGACAACTGTTTTAATTAAAACAACTCACCTAAAAAAAAATGATAATCATCAATTGCAGAGACACACAAGGGGCCACTTGTCTATGACAATTTATAAAGAAAACGACTTGCATGAACCAATTAAATTAGAGAAAATAATATTCACTTTAGTCATATAAGTTTATAAAACATTAAAAAAAAAGAATACATCAAGTATTTGTTTAGGTAAGCATTTCTTAAAAGTGTTTTTTATCAAAGTTCTTTTGGTTAAAATTGAAATAAAAGTGCAATAAATTATATCCATTTTGTTCTGTAAAATTTGTTACTGAAATTGAAAGAAAAAAAACACAGAACTTGTTACATTCTCTGTAACCAAGGAATCTAAAGTTCCAAACACAGGTAATAGACAGGACACTGTCCTTACATGTACTGTGTCGGTTGGGTTGAATGCTATTGGGCCGTGAGAGTAATTGAGAAGGAAAATTACTCATCACACCTACTATACTATTTAACATGAGTAGGTATAGTTTAAGAGTGCCACATAACTCTATTTGTTTTTTTTTGGAAAAAACAAAATGTATATTATTGATAGTAGATGTGTGACCTTAGTTATGTCACTATTCTTTTTTAATTAGACAGCCCTTAAAATTGACTTATCATTAATTTTCTCCCACTTAATATCTACTTTATTTAAAGTTGAGAATAAGTTAATTTATTATTAATATCCTGCAATTTTTTTATTACTATTAAAATCTATTTCACTCAATAAAATTGAAGATATAAAAAAAATTATTATCGGTTGTGTTAATTAGTCGGTGATTGATATAGACATGTGATGAGTGACTCAATTTATAAAGTAAAATAAAATATCTAACCACGAGACTCTTTAATTTATTACTATTCATAAGACGTTTATTTTTCTAGGAGTAATAGTTATTTATTTATTATTCACGTGAAGGAATTCTAGCATGCGTACGTGCTTTAAATTTTATCCAATCAATATTTTTGGAATTTGAAAATGAAATAAAAAAAATTAAAGGACGAATGATTAACAAAAATAATATATTCTCTTAAAAAATATTTCAAACAAAACAACTGCTTCAAAATATTAATTAAAATTAATCGTTAAACCCTAGTTAAATTTAATTAGTATTTTAAAAAATCAATTATTTTGAATACTAAACATAATTTATTTCACTTTAATAAGTAATTGTTAAACCCTAATTATAAACTCTATTTAAAATATTTCACCCTAAAATATTTCACTCTTAAAAATTACATAGAAAAAAAAAGTAGTTATTGTAAGTGTTGTTACAATAAATATATGTAAAAGTACATACACTGTTCCATTAATTTCAGTTGGATTTCTTATGGAGTAGGGTAGTATTGGATTTAAGAAGGTATACGACATTGCAGTCAAGTAGATGAAATTATTTATAAATAACGCATTTCCAAATAAATAAATAAAAAAACCTAAAATTAAATAACCCGTGATTTTTGGTAGAAATGCGTCACGTCTAATATAAGTCATGTGAATATTATTATAATTACTAAAGCCTCTTAACAAATAGATAGGATCATCACTATCACCAACCCAATCTCAACTATATTATTTCATATCTAATAAATTCCTACTTTTTCCTTGCAACTTGCAATATCTTGTTCAAACAATATCAATATCATTATTTTGTTATTATCTTTTGCTTTTAACTATTACTCGATCACTCAACAAAAATAACATATAATTAACTACTTTTTTCTATTTGATAAAAATTTATCATATCATCTCATTTTTGTAAACATGTTTTAATATATAATAATTAATTAAAATTTTATTATTACATGTGCCCAACTTGCATAAAAAAGAAACATGGAAATGGTAGTCATAAATACCAAAAATGCCATACAATTAATTTTAATCACATAAAAAAGACAAGACTTATATATTTGTCTCATTTTATTAATTACTAGTATTATATATATGTACGTGGCTATTCTTCTGCCAGATATACTATAAACACATAAGAACATAACAAATATATTGAGGGAACCATGCATGTGGCTTATGGGAATAATATTTAATAATTTGAACAAACTATTGAGTGTCATTGTGAGTGATAATAGATTTTTGACTAATAATTTAAATAGCTTATGAATTGATATAATAAGTTTTTGTAAATTATTATTAATTATTAAACACTAATATAATTGTTAATGAATTGATGACTAACTTTGTTTTTAAATAAACCGGGATCCGATAAAAAAGTTGAGATGAATTATTTTTTTCAAGTTATTGATTTATAAGTATCAATAATATATATAAATTTTATAAATTATTATCGGTAGAAATTAAAAATTATATCAACATACATTAACAATTTAAATTCATTTAACTAATTAACATATCTTAGTCATCCATTAAAGAGAGATCTATGTCTTCGTTATTTGTTTAACCAATTAATTAGTTTGTCTCTTATGCTTATACTCTTATGGATTGTTTTTGTAAAGATTATCATCTTAATATATTCCATCCGGTATTATATTTAAGAGAATTAAAAAAAAATTTACTACTTAAGAGAAATGTCTTAATGTATTTAATTTTTACATTCTTTTTAATTTTACTTTTATTTTTTGTTTTAAATATTGTTACAATCATAAAAATATTTTAAAAAATAAAAGTATATTTAAAATAATAATATTGAATGTAATAATTAAAAAATATTTTTAATTATATTAAAAAAAAAATTTTGACGCTCTACCGACCTCACCCGAGTCCGCCTTAAGTCCGCAAAAGAAAGGGGCAGATAAGCTCGTCAAGTAAAAATGAACATAAAAATCTAACTCGTCAAAGTAATAGTGGCGAATAAGCGGGCTTACCGCCTACTTTCTTATTTTTTATTTTTTCTAAAATATATTAATAGATTTGTTTTTATATTTTAATTAAAATTTTCACTTATTTTCTTAGAATAATTTTTATAAAACATTTTTTTAACAAATTTTATTTTAAAAAATATTGCATATATTCTCAAATAAATATATAAAATAAAACTATTAAAATTTAGAATTACTAAAGCTAACTAAAAAGGATAGGTTTAAGGTGGAATAAACTGAACGAATAGATGTGATAAGTTTTTGCGGACGGTGAATTTTGCCGGAACAGACTTTGGTGAGTGACAGTTTTTAGCGAGACAGATTTTGGTGGACGACAGATCCAAAATCTCAACATAATCTGCCATTTTTTAACGAGTGCGTGGATCGATCTGACTGACCGTGATCCGTTTTACTACCTCTATGGGAGATTATTTATTAAAAATTTAATAAATTATTGTTTCAACATTAAAAAGTAAAATAACTATTATTTAAGATTTTTTTAAAAAAATTAAGAATTGCAACAATATTATCATAAAACAATACATTTTTATTAAAACAAATATTTTTTTTTCTAAAACAACGTTCATTATGAAACGGAATAAATAAAAAATAAGAAAAAAAAATACCTGAGTGAAGAAAACTAGAAGAGTGAGAAGTTTTATCGCTCTGTAAAACATTCTAAGGAGACGAAAAAAACTATGAGACCAATCGTTCAAAATCTGTTGGCGTTTATGTAGCGGCAAATCAGGAAAAGCTTGGATAAAAGGGAACTTGGTAGATAAGCAACCCATGCCACATAAAGCGACTGTTCCAATCCACGTAGATAGAAACCACAACGTCAGCTTCATCACCCATGTCATCGGATGAATCAATTTTTCACTTATTACACCCCCAAGCTGCACATAACAAGCCAAACCATATCATTAATTCATACACACACGTAAACTATACCTATAATATCAAGAATATATAACTATATTTTATTATATAGTAATAATAGCAAGGTGTGTAGGAAAATATACAAGTTCGGGTGTTCCAGCCATGGATGCAGAAATACGGTAGAAAGTGGCGGCGGCACCGTCGTCGTCGTCCGGAAGATCAAAGTCATTGATAGAAGGCAAGATAGTGTCTGCTAGAGCAATGACAGATTTCATCTGCCTAGGAGAAAGAGTGTTTGTGGCAGTTTTTTGTTTCTGTTTCATCTCTCCACTTTCAAAGAGAAGTATTTCTGTGTCTATATTACCAAGCTCAATCACTGTCTCATGATCTTTTCTTCCTAAACTCAGCCTAAAACTTTCCAGTCTAGAGCTGGCTTTTCTGAAGCTACTCTTTCTAGAGCTACCATTCAAACTATTCTCCATCTCCATGTAGGTTTTGTTTGTTTGTTTGTCTGGTTTATGACGGTAGTTATTTTATGAATGCAATCACACTATGCTTTATAGTAGTAACTCTATAGGACAAATCATCTACTAAAAGTTTGTTTTTATAGGGGAAAAAATAGGATGAATATTTAATAATTATTATATATGTTTTGTATATTGTGGAAGGAAAATAGCTTGTGAGAAGAGAGAGGGACAAGTGTCTCAAGAGAGAGAACGATGGTTATATACCACAAACCACAAAGTAAAGGACAGCTTTATTTAATGCATATGTTTCAGAGAAAATTCTAACCAAAGAAACAAAACGATATCAATATTTAAAAGGTTTTTTTTTTTTTACTGTTCTACCTGTTTTGAAATGAAAAATCTTATAATATTTCACATTAAAAATTATTTACGAGAGTGTCCTATTTTCAATAGAAGCTCGTCCACTGAATGAGTGAGGATGTGCAAGAACAATTTAGCCGGTGTGAGTTCGTCCATTGAAAGGACGAGAATGTGCAGCGCAAAAATGGCATGTGTAAGCTCGTCCACCCAGTGGACGAGCGTGTGAAGTGTTCTTTTTTTTTTCTTTTTCTTTTTTGATTTTAATTATTTATTCATAAATGTTAAATGTAAGAATTTTAATTATTAAAATGTTAATGTTAATAATTTTTATTATAATTAATAATAATAAAATAATATTAATAATTTTTAATAATTTTAATTATAAAATACTAATTAATAATAATTAATAGGTTTTGACTTTTCAATAATTTTAATTATAAAATACTAATTAATAATAATTACATTATAAAATTAGATTATAAGATATGTTAATAATTTTAACATTACAACAACAATCAAATTGATTAAACAAAAGTACATTTCATCGAAGATGACCCCCAGTTCCACACCTAGTGGTTCTTCGCTGTCTATATCCCCTGCCCAAACGCTCATTTGTAGGTGATTGAAATGAGTCAGAATACGTGTCTTCATTGTGATGTGTTGTAGGGGGGTTTGTCTGCCTTGAAGAGGGTCCTGGTTGCTCATCGAGAATATCATCAATGTTAAAATACGACATTTGCATCAGTTACTCCTTTGTCAACATAATATGTTGGAATGATTGTGATGGTTGTGGGTAGGTTTCAGGTTGGGTTTGTTGAAGGGTTAGATAGTAGACGTCATTAGGCGTGAAGGTCGATGTGGGTTGAGATAAGGTAGTGTTAAAGATCGAGTTGGGTTGAGAGAAGGTAGTGTTGAAGGTTTGATATTGGAAATGAGGGTTGGTCTGGTCAAAGTTGGGCGGTGGGACTGGGGTGAACTATATGGGTGGTCGGAGGTAGGGTTGGAGCTGATATTGTTAGTTGTAGTGGTAGTTATAGTTTTGTTGAGGGAGTGGATTGTAAGGTGTTTGTTGTCGGTATATATGTTGAGCTGACACGAAGATGCGTGTCCCCCAAATTCATATTTATTTAGTTGTACTATTTTCTTAGCCTCTAAGTTTATTAGAGGGTATTTTAGTATTTATCTTATTCTAGTAACCCTAGTTTTTAGCTTATAAATAGGGTGACAATCATTGTAACCAAATATCATGTTTTGTAGTCGTCATTCTCTTTAATAGAATATTTTTCTATTTCATCATTTATTCTATCTTTGCACCAACAATTGGTATCTAGAGCTCCGGTTCAGACTCATTGGGAAACACGGGAAACACGAGTGAACGTGAGGTCTTGTGTGTTTGATTTTGTTTCTCAGATTCTTGTTGAATCTTGAACAAAATCTGATCAGAATTTTTTAATTCTGTGGGTTGGGAAACACTGTGTGAGAAAACTCTGAGTGTATTGTGCAAAGTAGAAGATGAACGGAAACGGCAACATGAACACCAAACTTCCAGTATTTGACGGTAAAAATTGGAATCGTTGGATGATCCAAATGCGTGTACTGTTTGGTGCTCAAGATGTTCTGGATCTTGTCACTGATGGTTATGTTCCGGTAGCAGCAGATGCGACTGATGAACAGAAAAACGCGCAAAAGGAAGTAAGGAAGAAGGATCAGAAAGCATTGTTCTTCATTCATCAATGTGTGGATGTAAACGTGTTTGAGAAGATTGCAGACTCTACAATAGCAAAGGCTACATGGGACACTCTGGTGAGATGTTATGGTGGTGACGCATCAGTGAAGAAGGCGAAGCTTCAGTCCTTGAGAAAGCAATATGAGAATCTCAACATGAAGAATAATGAGAAAGTTTCTGAATACATCTCCAGAGTGATTCTGATCACTAATGAGATGAAGGCATATGGAGAAACTCTTTCTGAAGAAACAATCATGGAGAAAGTGTTGAGATCCCTTACTCCTCAATTTGATTACATTGTGGTAGCAATAGAACATTCCAAAGATCTGAGCACCATGAGAATTGAAGAGCTGCAGAGCAGTCTAGAAGCGCAAGAGTTGCGTTTGACTGAGAGAACTTCTGAAAAGGAAGTAGAGCAGCAGGCTCTGAAAGCAACTTCTGATAGGAGGTATCAGAAGCAGTCAGAAGCCAGGAGAAGATCTGATGGTGGTCAGAAGTCAGAAAGCTCAACCTCTGATAGACAAAAGAATGCTCAGAAGGGAAAAGAGAAGTATGACAAGAAGAAGATCCAATGTTACTGTTGTAAGAAGTTTGGTCACTTTGCTAGAGATTGTTGGTCAAACAAGGAGAGAAAATCAGAAGAAGCAAATATAGCCAGAAGTTCTGATGACGAATCTGTGCTATTGATGGCCTCTGAATCTGATGATCTGACAGACTGGTGGTATATGGACACTGGCTGTTCAAATCATCTTACTGTAAACAAGAAATGGCTGGTTGATTTTGACTCTGAAAAGAGGACAAAGATCAGATGTGCTGATGACAAATATCTTAATGCAGAAGGTATGGGAAACTTCAGAGTGACTCTGAACAATGGGAAAACAACATTGATTCAGAACGTGTGGTATGTACCTGGCATCAGAAGCAATCTGATGAGTGTGGGACAATTAATTGAGAAAGGTTTTTCAGTTACCATGAAGGACAATCTTCTGAAGCTGTATGACTGAAATCAGAAGTTGATTATGGAGTCAGAACAGGGAAGGAATAGAACATTCAAGGTGAATGTCAGAACTGCAGACTCAGAATGTCTTAGTGCAACAAGTGCTGAGAAGGAGAGTGAGTTGTGGCACAGAAGATTTGGTCATTTGAATTTCAGAAGCCTAAAACATCTGAATTCAAAGAAGCTGGTACATGGAATTCCTGCAATTAAGAAGCCTGAGAAGTCATGCAAAGTTTGCATGGAAGGAAAACAACCACGTTTGCCATTTGCGTCAGAAGTTGCTCCAAGAGCAAAACATGCCTTGGGAGTTGTACATTCTGATGTGTGTGGTCCATTTCCAGTAGCATCAATTGGAGGGAATAAGTACTTTGTGTTGTTTGTTGATGAATTCACAAGAATGACATGGGTATCCCTTATTAAATTTAAACATGAGGTGTTTGATGAATTCAAGAAGTTCAGAATGAAGGCTGAGAATCAGAGTGGTCAGAAGTTGAAGATTCTTAGAACTGATGGTGGAGGTGAGTATAACTCCAAAGAGTTCCAGAAGTTCTGTGAGGAGAATGGAATTGAGCATGAGGTTACTGCTCCTTATACCCCTCAACACAATGGTCTTGCTGAAAGAAGAAACCGTACTTTGCTTGATATGGTGAGAAGCATGCTAAAGGAGAAGAAGCTTCCTCAAAAGCTCTGGGGAGAAGCTGTTGCCACTGCAACGTATGTACTCAACAGATGTCCTACGAAGAAGTTGAAGGAAATAGTTCCTATACAGAAGTGGACTGGAGATAAGCAAAGTGTTAGTCATCTAAAGGTGTTTGGTTCTGTTTGCTATAAACATGTTCCAGAAGCCAGAAGACAGAAGCTGGATGATAGAAGCAAAGTGATGATTCTGATAGGGTACCACAGTACTGGTGCTTACAAGCTCTATTGTCCAGAAACCAATAAAATTGAATTCAGCAGAGATGTGATTGTGAAGGAATCAGAAGTTTGGAATTGGGATAAGTTTCAACCTGATTCTGATGTTAGAACCTCTGAAGAAAGGACAGAGTTAAGAATTTCTGAAGTTGAAGTAAACCCTGATATTGACTTTGACTCTGATACTGATTCAAACTCTGAAGAAGACTCAGAAGATGAAGGTGACCCAGATGACCCAGACTCTGATGATTCAGACTCTGATGGCAATCCAGATCTTGGTGGCAATTCAGACTCTGGAAATATGCCAGACTCTGAAGATGGTCAAAGCTCTGGAGGTCAATCATCTGAAGCTGGAAACTCTGAAGCTCAAGACTCTGAACAAGTTCAGAGACCACAAAGAATCAGAAGCGTTCCCAGAAGATTTGCAGAATTTGACATGCTGCAAGACACTAAAGTAGACTCAGAAGGAGAAGTTATTCAGTGTGCCATGATGGTAGACTCTGAACCCATAAGTACAGAAGAGGCTTTTAAGCAGAATCTTTGGCTAAAGGCCATGAAAGAAGAACTTGATGCTATAGAGAGAAACAAGACTTGGAAGCTGACAGAACTTCCAAAAGACAAGAAAGCCATCAGCGTCAGATGGGTTTTCAAGCAGAAGTTAAAGCCAGATGGTTCAATTGGCAAACATAAAGCAAGGTTGGTAGCCAGAGGATTTCTACAGAAACCTGGGCTGGATTATTCTGAAGTGTTTGCACCTGTAGCAAGACATGAAACAATCAGAATGGTGATTGCAATAGCTGCTAACGGGAATTGGCCTCTGATGCATTTAGATGTAAAATCTGCATTTCTGAATGGTCCATTAGAAGAAGAAGTTTACGTGTCACAACCTCCTGGATTTGTGAAAAAGAATCAGGAAGGGATGGTGTACAGATTATACAAAGCTCTATATGGACTGAAACAAGCGCCCAGAGCTTGGAATCAGAAGATTGATTCATTTTTCAAGAAGCAAGGCTTTCAGAAATGTGA